ATTATAAAGTAAACCTCGAACAACTATAAGAGCCAAGTTCTTTACTGTTCGAAGCGGATTTGCATATCTCAGACTAACTAAAAGTGACTCTTTCGGAAGTGGTTCTATGAGTTCATTCAAACGTGCTGCAGCTAAAGTTACTCTTACGGCGTAGATATTACTCAATGTGTTCATTTCATTTGTCATTAGCTTTCTTGTAATTGATGTTCCATTCTATTTCACCTATTTTACACGACTGTCTTATACAGCGTATTATAATAAATAAATAAATAAATAAATAAATCAAACTCACAACAGACTAGTAGTGCAGGAACATCGGTGAAGAAATCTCAATAGAAGTTCTGGGAAAGTATACCGATCAGTCGTGGGGAAACTAATGGCCGCGACATTGCTAACCTTCCGGAACACTGGTACAGGAACTATCTGGTCCGACAACACTTCCAAAGGGCACATGGTGTGCATGAGGAGTGCTTAGCTCGTCAGAGAAACCCAACAGCGATCACTGGCTCGGCGCATAAGGCCCACAGTAAACTTGTGTTGAAGCCTTGGGCTCTCATATAAAATTTCTTCCAAAAAGTAACCGGTGCGTCCAATAAAGTCTGCAGCTGAGCAATGACCACCTTTCCTCCAATTCGGCCCTTTCCGTCAAATATGATAGGCGCGTCTAAGGGGGTCTTAGGGTGCACCTTAATCAAAACCCAGGCAGTTTTCAAACTCTCCTTCTCGAATACTCCTGGACACGGCCGATTTGTAATGCTGCTCGCTTTGGAGGAGAGATCAATTCATAAGCAAAACAACATCGTTTCGTAGTAGTAGTTGCAAAACATCGTTGGCGCTATTATAATGTAGTACACAGAGAACACATGAATCTCGCAGCCGTTCGACGTCAATCTCCCTCAGAGAGCACGACATTTGCAGAGTCCTTGGGATGGAGAGCGACGAGAGACCGTCACAAGGACGAAGACGGCCGATGATGTTCGGCGGTGAGGCGTGGCCACGGGGTGGGAGGGACGGGTCGAGGCGGTGCGAGGGAAACTGAGTTCTGAATGAGACACTGACCATTCTCGAATCCCACAACATCCGCCGATGACCCAGCACGGCTTCTATCCGAAACCGTTTGAACTGTCCCTGTCGGCTCTGAAAAGCGTCTTCGAATCAGACAATCCCAGCTATTCGAGTACGTCTTCAAAAATCTTTGCAGATCCCTTTTGGAATTTTATTCTAAGAAACGATGTGAAAATACTAGCTAAATGAGCGTAGGGAGAAACCACTCGGACTATTTAAAGGATCTTTTTTGGATTTTATAAATGAGATAAAGGCTCTGAGAGAAAGGAGCTTCCAGTCTTCACTTTCTGGAGAGGTGCTTTGACGCCTTTTCAGCTAACTTCGAGCTCCGAATCATTGCTCTTTCTCTCCAAAATCGCGAAAGGAGTGATCATTTTGTTTCTTGCTTGATATCAAACCCTGTGTTTTCATGTTGCTGACGATTCTTCTGTTTGCTCTTCCGGTAAAGGGTAAAATGAATACCTCTATCAGCGAAAATAGCGGGCAAGAAAGGTATCAAAGTCACCAGGGTTACCTTGGTTCTAACAATTTGGGTGTAGAAATAAAATTTTTCAGAGCGGACCCCATTTTCCATATGAGCCCGTTCGTACAATAAGACAATCAGACTAATTAGCACACGCTTTCTGAGCTTTTGAGTTCGCGGTTCCAAGGCAGGATGGCCTTTTCCTGAATGCTAAATATAATTTAAGATACCTGTGAAGATAGAATATAATTCAAGAGATACCTCCCAATATTTCTGCGCGTCTGGGAAAATCAGCCGTGAAAATTTCAATAATCCCGTTTCTTCCAATGAAAATATTGCGCAATCGAGACAGAGATTGCTTGTCCTCATCGATTTCCAGATTTTGGAAAGGCTAATCCTTGCAACGTAACACACTGTTATTCTTGGGAACAAATCCAGGAAATGTGACGCAGATCTAGACTTAGTTGTGATACCTTATTTCGGACCTCAGAGCTATCGTCAGAGATTCTACGTCTGTGCCCTCATGGATTCTTTTTTAGCAAAGCCCTGTTTGAGACTAATAAAAGAATTCGGAAGTATCTTCCGGGAGTGAGGGGGCCCGTGGCCGTTTCATTCTTGCCGTCCGAGAAAGGAAAAAATCGAGAAATTTTGTGGAATTTTGTCTTACAAATAGGATTTTAACAAATTTACATTTTGACCCATTTGTTTTCTAATGATGTATTCTGCTACGTTTTTGTGACCGCTTCGCTACCTTCTAATGTATGGTATTTCTAATTTTATCGCATAAACACCATAAGTGCGGTCTATCTTACAAACAACATTCTGTGGAGTTCTTATTTGGGTTTGTTTCTTCTGCCGTTCGAGGTTGATAGGTGGAACATTTATTCAATCGGCCTAACGTTTCGACAAAATCGTCGTCTTCTGAGGCCTAAACGCGGTTCAAGGTGGTTCAAGGTGTTTTGAGGCCCGGGATTCCCGCACGAACGGTGGAACCCTGGGTGAGTTCAAAATTCGTTTTGCTTATGTTTCTCGGTGGGACTCCCGACGGAAAGTCGGAACCGCTAGAGGAGATCAGGCGCTTGGTGGATTAGATCGTGAATTTCAACCTTGAACCGCGTTTAGGCCTCAGAAGACGACGATTTTGTCGAAACGTTAGGCCGATTGAATAAATGTTCCACCTATCAACCTCGAACGGCAGAAGAAACAAACCCAAATAAGAACAAAGAATGCCGAGGTTACAAGAAGAGAGAAGCTGTAGACTAATTCTGTGG